TTTATCGTTTGAAAATATAACAATATCAACAGTATTATCATCTATACGTATATACATATAAATAAAATTGGAGTGTCTGTTTGTAATATTGAAATAACAGTTTTTTACTACATGCATATGAATATAAATACGGTACATACACCAAAATAACATTTTACACACAACAATAACACAAAAATAATATTATATCCTAGCTGTACCCGCGACTTCGTCCGCGTGGAATTTAACTTTATTATTCTAAAATAAAAGTAGCCTAAGTTACTCCTTATACATCAGCTACCTGCCAAAAAAAGTCCCGTCAAAATCGGTCCAGCCATTTCAGAGATTAGCCGGAACAAACAGACAGACAGTGAGACAAAAATTGTAAAAAATGTTATTTTGGTGTATGTAAAGAAAGAAAGAAAACATTTATCGACAACCATTATTGATATGAACATATATTTACACATTTTGACATTGGTACATTTAACATATATATATATATATATATATGTATGCTCACATACACACATATGTACCGTATTTATATTCATATGCATGTAGTAAAAAATGGTTATTTCAATATTACAATAAGACACTCCAATTTTATTTATATGTATAGATGTATAAGGTAAAGTATATATAAATTTCTATAATATAATAATATATATATATATATATAAATATATGCAATTATAAATCATAATATAGTATTATTTCTCACGTATCAATCAATTCAACTCAAGTGACAGTTAGTTATTTGCACGTACAGATATTATGAAAGTCGACAATAGCTGCAAGCTCTTCGGGAATTAAGCAAGCAAATCTATACATATAAATAAAATTGGAGTGTCTGTTTGTAATATTGAAATAACCGTTTTTTACTACATGCATATGAATATAAATACGGTACATACCTACACCAAAATAACATTTTTTACAATTTTTCTCTGTCTGTCTGTTCGTTCCGGCGAATCTCTGAAATGGCTGGACCGATTTTGACGGGACTTTTATTGGCTGGTAGGTGGTGTAGTAAACAGTAACTTAGGCTACTAGTTACGAAATACTTTTGTTTTAGAAAAATAAAGTTAGATTCCACGCGGACGAAGTCGTGGGTACAGCTAGTTACAACTAAAATGATACTTAACTATAGCGAAGCTTGAAGTAATGTAACTAAATTTTTGAACGCAATCCAAAAGATAAGGTTTCCATCTTCTCTCGAAGGACCATATGGTTTTTTTTTTACTCTAAGGCTGTTGGCCGCAGCTGGCCTTTACAGCTTCACCGGACGGTAGGGGGCGAGTGCAGATGGCACTCCAAACCAAAGGAAGGACTTATGGAGCGGCTGAAGGCCAACTGCCGCCTGACGGGTACGACTTTAGTCTGAGGGCACGCTAGTAGTTCGTAGTATAATATATGTACACCCGGGCGAAGCCGGGGCGAGTAGCTAGTGTGCAATAAAGCGAAGTCACCATTATAAATGTGTATCAGAAAAGTGTTACCATTTTTTGTGTATTTTCTAGAAACAGAATATTTAACAAAAATAATTATCTACTTTTGCATTTAAATTTAATAATACATTTAAAGTTAATGAAAAGCTATTAACAAGGGATTGAAAAATACATTAAAAAAGTTATAAAACAATTTTAATACATAAATAATTTAATGCAATTTCCAAACTTTTTTAATATATGTATAAAAAATAATTAGATTTTTGTTAATCATCGTACATCAACATGAGTATATTTGCTTTGATTAAAATATTGCGACTTTCTAGTTAACGTAGCTCCATCTTGACTCCGTTATTGATCTATGTTTTAAAATACTTTTATTTATTATTTACTACCTACGTACACCCGTGCGAAGCCAGGGCGATTATATTATATTACTAGCTGTCACGACAAACGTTGTTATGCCTTAAATAAAAAAAAATTATTGGTGGACTACCCCTAACATTTAGGGGGATGAAAAATAGATGTTGGCCGATTCTAAGACCTACTCAATACGCTCACAAAATTTCATGAGAATCGGTCAAGCCGTTTCGGAGGAGTATGGGAACGAAAACGGTGACACGAGAATTTTATATATAAGATATAGCTTATACATATAAACCTTCCTTTTGAATCACTCTATCTATTTAAAAAAACAGCTTCAAAATCCGTCGCGTAGTTTTAAAGATTTAAGCATACATAGAGACGGTCAGACAGCGACAGCGACTTTGTTTTATAGTATGTATTGATATATTATAAATAGGTTTAAATTTACAGTATAATAAAGTTAAGTAATTAAGTAGAATAGAATAGAAAATAATTTATTCAAATAAACTTACATTGAAGTACTTTTGAATAGTCGTCACATTTTTTTTAATCCACTGCTCATTCGGAAAGCTGTCTCATCACAAGAAGAACGAGCAAGAAACTTGCTCTTCTAAATAATTTTATTCTTACTTTATAGTTGCACTTTAGTTGGTGAGTAACAGCAACTGTTACATAAAGTGGTATTTTAAAATTAATATATGTTCATAACTTTAATACCCAATTACATAACCGTTATGGGTACTAGGCAATCATTAAAAGATTATGATGTTTTGACCAAATTCTATGACTATCACATATGTAAAAGTTAGATTATGTACTCAGCTGTACTGGTAATAATAAAATATATAAATTCAAATTCGAATTCAAAATATCTTTATTCTATTACATTCACGCACTCCCGGAGCTCCGGCAATAAGCAGTAGAGGTACACCTTGGGGTTCTAGCCGGTAGGAGTCCATGACGAATTTCCCCAAGAAAAAAAAAACTGTCTATTACAAAAGTCTATTACAGACTCTTATGATATGTCAAATCTACCGTCAGTTCGGAATGATTTCGAGATGAGAACTGACAAGAAACTCAGCTCGTATTCTTTTCAAATAAATGTTGTACATCTTTACAATAATACAGATTCATTTAAATTCAAATTTGGAAGAATAGAGTGATCACCAGCATATGCTATTGCAAAAGTAAATAGTCTAATCAGTGTTCGTAACAAGAACAGACCAGTCCCCACATATAAATACTTTATATATACATTGTGGAATGAACTACCCGCCGAGGTTTTCTCACGAGACTACAGTATGGGGTTTTTCAAGAACACCCCTGGTTAGGGTTACCAACCATACTTTATAATAGCGTATTCTACTTTATTTTTGGTAATTATACTTTATAATTTTACATACAAATAAAGTACGCAAAAATACTTTATTTTCAACCTTTACTGTGATGCGTAAAACAAAATACTCATTATGGGTACTTAACGATTTATAATTACTGAACGAAATGTTAGTGAATTGTGAGTTGGGACATTTGTTACAGCTCTAGTGTTAAAAGAATACAAAAATATGCTTTTAATGCAAAACGATATAAAATTTGAAAAATACTTTTGTTTTTTCCAAAAACTTTTTTTTTTCCTATCCAAAGCTTATACGTTTTTTTTACGCTGGCGGGGTACCAGCAGAGGATCATGCTTATCTTAGCATGATATGCTAACTAACTTAACCAGGGGGGAAAAGTGGATTGTTAGTAATGTGGATTGATGATCTTATTGCTAGCAATGTACCATGTCATGTTGACCTCCACGCGGTTCCCCTGGAAACCATCGTGGTGAATTTCGTCGTAAATTCCTGGTGAATTTGTCACGATGGGCTAACTGACCTGACCTCATGTTCTTATCATCATCCACTTGTGCCCGCCAGCGTAAACCATTGGGTGCACCATTCCATTATCATCCACAAAAAAAACTGTCTTAACCATCATCTTAGCATGAGATTAAGTCAGTTAGCGTCGTGGTAAATTTACCATGAATTTATCACGATGGTTACCAGGGGAACAGAACTACGTGAAGGTCAACCTGATATGGTACATTGCAACAGGGTCATCAGTCCACATCACTAATAATCCCCTTCCTTTCCAATTGGTGACATATTGTAAATACCACTTATTGGCCAGACCGTACCCTCCCAGCGGCCAGACATTAAATAATGCAACATATCCCCCGTGACGAGGGTTGACAGAAATACCAACACTCTCCAGTGCCCGCCATTGGAGTAGCAATCATAAATTATGAACGACAGAGTCTATTTTCGGTATTCATTTGGATATTAACATTTTATGTACATTTAAATGTGAAACTGAAGCTTGGGAGTTACAAAGTTTCTTACATGAAATAAATATATTAGATGTTGGTGCCATACAAACTGTTTTAGCCGATCCTTCGGGTAATGGAGTGATTGGTTTTAGGGTACAATGGGACTGACATGTACTTAGATGGTACAAAAGTCCCTAAACTTAAAAAGAAATAAAAAAAAAAGTTTCTTACTTTTTTTTCTTTTCTACAATTCACATCGCCATCTAGTCCCAAGTTAAGCTATCTAAAGTTTGTGTTACGGGTACTAGATAACTGATACAAGTAAATAGATATATTTTTTTCGTAAATACATGTATATTATATGTAGAAAACACCCAGACCGATACAAATCATACTCATGAATACAAAAGTTTGAATAGTGCGAGGAATCAATCCGCAACCACCGGAAGTCATGCAGAGTACCAAACCATACCAACAAGGTGATGAAATAAATCATATCAGAGCAAACTATTCCCTAAAAGCAGTACCCATTTACAAGTTAAGGGATCCATCATTAGGTGTTCAATCTAATATAAAATTGTGTGTGTCACAGGTTTCGTGTTTATACTCCTCCGAAGCGGCTTGACCGGTTTTGATGAAACTTTATATGTATATTCAGTAGGTCTAAGAATAAGTTATTAACAAATTTTTATACCCCTAAGTGTTAAGGATGGCTCACCCCAAAAATTATTTTCTTTCTTTTTTTCGTTTTTTTTTTATTTTTTATAATGTGGCATTAAAATACATACATCCCTAAATTTTGACCCTTCTATCACCAACCCCTATTTTTAATTTATATGGCCAATCAACGTTTGCAAAGTCAGCTAGTAATATAAATAATTGGGGGTACTCACCACAGGCCGTATATGGAGGGGATGGTGAGCGCCATGACGGTGGACAGCAGCCCCACCACCAGGATGGAGACCCGCATCACCCAGATTATCTCCATCTCGGAAGCGTTCTGCCTGAAGATCAGCTTGTACACGTTCCTGAACAATCACATATATTTATTAGAAACATATATTAGACAGCGACAGCGACTTTTTTTATACTATACTACTGGTACTTTTTTTATAATGATTGACGAGAATAGTTTATTGAGATAGCTAATTCAACGTTTAAACCAGTAATCCCTTGCACATACCTTTGTTTGAATTACAGATAGAAGGTTCTCTAAATATATATATAGAAAGTGACATATTGATCTATCAACGCACATCCCAAACCACTGAACTCTGAAATTGTAACTGAGATGTTATGACGTGATCGCGCCTGAGATCAAGTATTTTGTAATTTGTGATAATTAATAAATATTTTAATAATAATAACTTTGACAATTCATACAACCGATCTCTGAGACTTTGCATGCATAAATCCACTATAACGTAGGCATTATAAGAATGGATTTTGATAAATTCCACCCATAAGGTGATAAATTAAATCGGGCAAAAGCTAGTTGTAAAATATACATATACTCAAATACACACACATTATACATAGAAAATCATCCATGTGTTCATGTGTGATACAAACAATCATACTGTCATGAATACTATTTTCTGTCAATTGTAAATATTCGAATTGTAACTTAAAGCGGTGTGCTAGTACACAAAATATAGGTTTCCACTTAGTTTAGGTGCCGTAAATAAACATTTTAATCAAAATATTTTTTGTTTAAGTTCATTGTATTTGTGCCCTTGTTGTGAAACAAGTCGCTGGGACCACAGTCGGCCGGGGTTAGCCACCAGGGAGAGAAACCTACGTTCAAGGGGCAGAATCTAACAGCACCGCTTTCTGCATCTTTCCCGGGAGTGAGCCGCCCAAATTATTATTATTATTAAAGGAATAATAAATAATATTTAACCTAATTTTTTAACTTCACTGCTATTACTCATTGTATTAATTAAAATTAATTATAATTATTAACAAGAACTTGATCAGACTATACTTGAGCAGAATATTATATATTATGTACTATTTTTATAACAAATAAATTTCATTTCATTTCATATAATGATAGTGTAATAACAAACAATTAGCTATATTTATTCGGCGGATTATTTTTAAAGTGGATTGTTAGAAATAAAAGTAAATGGCCTATCCACTTGAAACCAACGTGTTTGATACCAGCTGTAATGTGTATGTAATGGTATGATAAGTGAATGGTACATCTGCCTGAGCAAACGGGGCACCGATGGAGCAAGATACGTATTCGGTCTGGCAGGCACATCGTTGCAAATACACTAATTTAACATGATGGTTTTCTGGAGATCTATATGATATATGATACATTCAAATCAGGTTTATAAACTCATATATCAAAAATGGAAAAATGACAGTTCAAATTCAAATTCAATAATCATTTATTCAGTTGACATATTTAGTAATAGTTATTGTCAAGATTTTACAGATATTTTTTTCTCAATAGTATTATAAGTTCTAGTTGAATCAGTAACGTTTTATATAGACAGAACTTTAAGTTGTTTTTTATGTTTTGTTAATTGTAGAATATATTGTGAGCAAACAAATTTGTCACATGAGAACACTGGATCTATCTATAATCTATAATCGCCGGACGAATTCACACAGCACCATCTGGAGTCAAGTGTTGTAATACAAGCGGCAGGATCATGGACGTGTGTTATGGGTGACTAGATAACTGTTCAAATACATAGATATTTTTTTAAAAATAATTAAAGATAAAAACTAATAGGAAAAAGAAACACTTATTCAAAGAATCACTCATCAGTTGACATATTTAGTAATAGTTATTGCAGATGAATACAAATGTATTATAAGTTCTAGTTGAATCAGTACACGTTTTATATAGGTAGAACTTTAAGTTGTTTTTTATGTTTTGTTAATTGTAAGCACAAATTTGTCACATACATATCGTAGTTGCCTATAATTAGGGTTGCGCTTAGTATAAATAGATTGTAATGTAATATATATAATGTAATAGTGTTGGTGTAAACCTTGTTGGTGACCTAAATAAATAAAAAATAAAATTTTGATTGTTAATATATTTGTTTGTAATAATTAACATAAAAAGTAATTGACTGAGATTAAAAAGTTATACAACTGGTTAGATAACTCTTTTCGGAGTGACGTCTCCGTAAGCAGTTATTTAAATATAATTTTTAGAACCTAACTAACAGACGCGTTAGTTCTTGCCACTTCTTCTCAATTGAATCTATATATTGAACTGGACGGTAGAGAAATATTATCTATACATATAAATAAAATTGGAGTGTCTGTTTGTAATATTGAAATAACCGTTTTTTACTAAATGCATGTGAATATAAATACGGTACATACACCAAAAAGCCACTTTTTACAATTTTTATCTGTCTGTCTGTCGGTCTGTTTGTTCCGGCAAATCTCTGAAATGGCTGGACCGATTTTGACGGGACTTTTTTTGGCAGGTAGCTGATGTAATAAGGAGTAACTTAGGCTACTTTTATTTTAGAGAAATAAAGTTAAATTCCACGCGGTCGAAGTCGCTGGTGCAGCTAGTCATAAATAAATACGTACATGTGATATTTCAATAAACACCCAAGGATTTAGTGAACTATCACATGTATTTATTTTCTCATTGAACGCACAAAATTATATTAATATACAATTTTATATGATGGCGGTGGTGGTAAAACTATAGACTACATTTTATATTCAACAGAATTAGAAATCCCTACAATAACCCATGGACCCACGGGAAGCTTGAATTGCTAGTAAGTTTTTTTTTTCGGACTACTCTAATGCTGTTGGCCGCAGCTGGCCTTTACAGCTTCACCGGATGTTAGGGGGCGAGTGCAGATAGCACTCCAAACCAAGGAAGGACTTATGGAGCGGCTGAAGGCCAACTCCTGCCTGACGGATACGACTTTAGTCTGAGGGCACCACTAGGGGTTCGAACCTCGGCTCAGGCCGTCGTAATTTCGATCCCCGTTTGAATTGGACAGGGGATCGATCGGAGGGGCGCCCGGGGGCGCCGTGCTAGTAAGTATAAACAAACATAAAGACAAAAATGGCCAATTAATGCAAATAATTCACTCTACACTCCCAAATTTGAATTTAAATGAATCTGCATTATTGTAAACATGTTCAATATTTATTTGAAAAGAATACGAGCTGAGTTTATTATCAGTTCTTCTCATCTCGAAATCATTCCGAACTGACGGTAGATTTGACATATCATAAGAGTCTGTAATAGACCTACATGAATAAAGATATTTTGAATTTGAATTTGTTGGTAATTTTGTTCATTTGCGATTAAATTCCTAAATCGGTGAATTATTGCAATTTGCCATTCGGCAAAAAAAATTACTTTGGTTGTTACTCGAGGCCCCAGGTGATTGCCCTATTCGCCACACCCTAAGGCAGCCACTGCATATATAGGCCTATAACCCAAAACCCATAACACATATTGTAATATATGGCAATATTACCAGTGGCCTTCGCAATGGCACCGATGAGGACTGGTGGTATTGCCATGAAGATGCACCCAATGGCAGCCACGTACGACAGCACCTGCGCGCGGCCTGCTGTCTTGCTGCTCAGCACTCGTTGGAAGTACACCTGCATGAATAAGCTCCTTTCAAGAAGATTGGAATATCGTATTGAAAATACCACAGCTGGAAGGTGACCTAACATAATCATCAAATTTTAAACTGAAATCATCTATTTCTTCCATAAACCAATCTGTGGGAGTTAAGCCCAGTTTCTTGATTGATGGCGCTACAGATTTATTGATTGATGACGAGGTTTTTGCTAAATAAAATCGCCTTGGTGGTATACCACTCGAACACTGAGTACTTGAATTACGAGCGTGGTATGGCAATAGTTGTTCATGCACGGGATTTTCATTTAATGTTAGACATAAACACCTATATAAATATACGTTGTATATGAACTGGATTTAAAAGAAATGTAATTCAATTGAGTTTCTTGCCAGTTCTTCTCAATTGGATCTATATACTGAACTGGATAGTAGGGAAAAATTAATTATCATCATCTGCTTCTTCCTTATCCCATTTATTTGTGGTCGTCGTTATATGTTTTTCTCTTCCATTCATTCCTGTTCGCAGTCATCTCGTTATTTACTACCTTTCTTATCATACCATCTTTCACACAGTCCATCCATCTCTTTTTCGGCCTTCCTCTGCCCTTATAACCATCCACATTCATATATAACACCTTCTTAAACTGAAAAATTGACAATCAATAAAATATCAACCAACCTGCCACGGAATTCCTCCAAACACCAGGAGCAGCCCATAATCCACATAGAACCAGTAGTACTCCGGATCCACTTTCCCTATCCAGTCCACTTCCATGGAACTGAGCGGTTTGACGTGAGGGTTCGCCCACGCGAACGGAATGCACATCCAGAGGCCTATGAATATGCAGAACAGCTGGATGACATCTGTGTACGCGACGGAGTACAGCCCTCCGAAGAGTGTGTAGAACACTGCTACGCATGCGCTGAAGATGACTGAGGTGCGGTGGTCCATGTCGATGATGACAGCCAGTGTAGCGCCTGCGACAAACGTTTAGATGGTTTTTTTTATAACACAGGGGACAAACGAGCTTGCGGCTCACCGGATGGTAAGTGATTACCAAGCAGCTAGTAATATAACCATTTGCCGTGGAGACGTCGGGCCCATGGTGCCCGGAAGCCAAATTGTTTTTGACATATATTTCATCATTGAGGTTACGTGTGACCCGAGAGCTGGTAGCTATTTTGCCCAAAGGCTAAGTATGGCCATTCAAAGAGGCAACGCTGCCAGTATCTTGGGTACGCTGCCTCGATGTGCCGCGTTGGATTACAATGATTGTTTTTTGTAATTGTTTGTATTGAATTCTGTATGTTTGTTAATGTTTTGTGTACGACTACAGCTAAGACTAACAGCTAGTAATATTATAAACGCGAAAATTTATAAGTACGGATGTTTGTTACTCTTTCACGCAAAAACTACTGAACGGATTTTGATGAAACTTTACAGTAATATAACTTATACATCATAATGACGTATAGGCTAAAAATATCCAGCGAGCGAAACCGCGGACACAGCTAGTCACTAATAAATAAACATATGCGCGGAATACTCATCCACTAAACTATGATGCTCTAATAAATAATATATATTTATTTATTAGAGCATCATAGTTTAGAGGATGCAAAAAAATAGTTCTATTTTATATTTATAACTCACTGTCTGATAATGGAAACACCGATAACAAATTTTTATTTGTTATCAGTGTTTCCATTATCAGTATTACTTGTATACTATTAAATTTTCGCAGTAATTTGTTATAGCCAAACTCAATAGTTTAAAAGTATAGGATGATACATGTAGTTAGAACGGGTAGCTCATCATGACATTCAGAAAGATACAGGAGATGACCGCGTGGAGGTCGACCCACCAGTTCCCATCAGTAACAATGATCCTCGCCCTATTGTCCATTATCATGTACGCAACAGTTGCAACAGTTTGAACACAACTGAATCCTCCGTGTTCCCAACAACTCATTATAATAGTGTAAGAATTACGCTAAGTGTGTGAGTTTGTGGGCGATTTCGCACGATATTGCAAGCATGTGTGACGAATTAGAAATGCAATCAGAAATGACACGTTGTATTGTGACAATCCTTTGTTTGCAAAAATCACGCGAAATCACGAAACTTTCTGGTAATCTTCTACTCGTAATCGATGGTTTACTTATCACTTGCTTTGACGGCCGGTGGTCTAGTGGTTTAGCATACCGCCTTACTTCCGACGATCGCGGGTTCGATTCCAATTTGTTCCGAAAAATTTGTATTCATGAATATGATTGTTTGTATCGGTCTGGGTGTTTTCTATGTATAATCATCTGCTTCTTCCTTATCCCATTTATTTGTGGTCGTTGTAATATGTTTTTGTTTCCATTCATCCCTGTTCGCAGTCCGCGCGTTATTTACTTCCTTTCTTACCATATCATCTTTCACACATCCATATCTTTTTCGGCCTTTCTCTGCCCTTATAACCATCCACATTCATTTGTAACATCTTTCTTAAAATATTATCCTCGTTCCTACGCATTACATGTCCATACCATGATAGACGTTATATATATTTTCAAAGTCTCTGACACCGGTGCCACTTTCATACACACTCTAATGTATTCATTATTTATCTTATCCATTCTTGTCACACCACATATCCACCTCAACATTCTCATTTATTTGAATAAATGTCGTCTTTCATCAGTCGCCTATGTATAATGTGTTTACAAAAAAAATGTATCTAAGTATTTGTTGTTTGCTACTCGTAATAGAAACTCTGCTTAGTTTGAGACTAGATGACGCTGTGTGGTTGTTGTTGTGAATAGTTTTGTTTATATTATTTTTTACTAGCTATTCCCGCGACTTCGTCCGCGCGGAATTTAACATTAAAAATACTAACTACTAGCTTTTGCCCGCGGCTTCGCTCGCGTTAAAAATTATTATTAGGTATTTTTTTGCGGCTGTACAGTACTTTCATACAAACTCTCATCCCCTATTTTATTTATATGTATAGGTATAGGTAGTAATTAATCAAAATCGGCTTTAGATCTGATTAGCGGATGCCTACGTCATAACATCTACCTGCATGCCAAATTTCATCGTTTTCCCGAATAATCCACAAACCGTCCAGTGGTTTGGGCTGTGCGTTGATAGATCACTATGTCAGTCAGTCACCTTTGAGTTACATATATTTAAGATACAAAGTCAAATATTAAGAACATACACATCCATATTCACACACTTAAACTTAAAAATGTAAAGTAATAATAAAATTATTTAAAAGAGTTTATACACGCATAATAATAAAGTTTCTTGCTCGTTCTTCTTGCGATGAGACAGCTTTCCGAATAAGCGGTTGATTAAAAAGTGATCACTATTCAAAAGTGCTTCTATATAAGTTTATTTGAATAAATGATTTTCTTTTCTATTCTATTCTATTCATAATAAATCAGATTCAAAAAAACTGCCTCAATTTTTATTTATATGAGTAAGATGTTTATACGTACCTGCATTAAATAAGATCATTGTTTATTTTTATTCTTTACCTAAACGATAACGAAGGAAGATTCCGTTTATTTAATATTCAAACGGTAAAATTTGTCATTCGAATTATAAAGGTTTAGGAGCTCATTATAATTCTATACGCATACAAACTTAAAACAAAAATGTTATATATTTCTATTATTTATTGCTTTTGTTATATATTTATTACTAGCTGTACCCGCGAGTTTGTTATCCTAATTGTAATATATTATGTATAAGAATTTTCTATACACATATGTTCTTATTCATATAAATTTATTGTTCGTAAACGGAACAGAATAAAATATAAAATAAATATACGTTACTACATCAGATCTAAAGCCGTTTATGAGAGTGGTGCCTTTAATATACATACAAAATATCTATACATCTATACATATAAATAAAATTGGAGTGTCTGTTTGTAATATTGAAATAACCGTTTTTTGCTACATGCATATGAATATAAATACGGTAGATACACCAAAATAACATTTTTTTACAATTTTTTCTGTCTGTCTGTATGTCTGTTTGTTGAAGCTGATCTCTGAAATGGCTGAACCGATTTTGACGGGACTTTTTTTGGCAGCTGGAGGTAGACCTGTTACTCCGTCATCCTCGATGTAATAAGGGGTGTGGTGGTTCTGTTCTTCAAGAGACAAACTGAAGAATTTCAGACCCGTAACACTACTTTTATTTTAGAAAACTTCCAGCCTCCCGAACAACGTTAAATTCACTGCGGCAGGTAATTCAGAAGACCGAAGAATACGTTTGTGGACTATGAAAAAGCCTTTGATTCGGTACGTGGGCTGTGCTACAGTCTCTCCAGCGGTGCCAAAGACTATCGATATATCAGCGTTGAAATGTTTGTATGAAAACGCCACTATGTCAGTTCGCCTCCACGACCAGAATTCGAAGCCTATCCAAGTGTCAGACAAGGCGATGTCATATCGCCAAAGCTGTTTACGTTGGAAGATGTCTTCAAGCTTCTGGACTGGAGCGGGCTGGGCATCAACATTAACGGCGAGTACATCAATCACCTTCGATTTGCCGACGATATCGTGGTCATGGCTGAGACCCTGGAAGACCTTAGCAAAATGCTTCAGTAAGTCTCACAGGAGTAGGTCTTAAAATGAACATGGACAAGACGAAAATTATGTCAAACGTCCATGTCGTACCTGCTCCCGTAAAAATCGGAGATTCTACACTCGAAATTGTCGATCACTACGTATACTTAGGGCAAACTATCCAGCTAGGTTATTTTCAATTAGCTCCGATATACCTTTTCGTCCAAATTTACGCAGTGTCTCAAGAGGAACGTTTACGACCAATGTGTGTTGCCAGTGATGACGGTACAGAGACGTGGTCGCTAACAATGGGCATCAGACTAGTAGCGGTTGTTGTGTGAAGACATTGTGAAGTGGCAATAACATCACAGACAGATGGGTTGGGGCATCACTAGTGGCGACCAAGGAAGCAGGTCAGCCTTTGGACCGACGATCTGGTCAATATATTATGTTAAATAGATCGCTTTTTGTAACATTGTAGTGGTATCCATTATGTGATGAGATTTTTGTCATACGGAGGTTGTGTGAGAGATGGAGAGATAGCTTTTGTTATAAACTTTCCATACACTTTTTTTGGCAGAAAGATATGATTTTGGCTACATTTATTTTCAACGTTATATCACGCGGACGAAGTCCGTTCAGTTGTCAATAAAATAGTATTTAAGTATTTCGTATTGTTAAGTACGTATGAGCTGTGCTTTGTTTGAAACTTTTGGACGGATGGCTCTGTGAGAATATTCCGTGGTTATTATGATTTATGTAACAAGTTCGTGATATAGATAGATAGATAGATAGAATATACTTTATTTGCAACGTACAGTAAAGAAGAAGCACAAACAATATAACAAAGGACACATGTATCGTTACAATAAGGCGGCCTTATTGCTAAAAGCAATATATATATATTGAAAGATCCTGCGTAATAAACAGTCATAAGACTGTTTATTACGACTTTTTACAAGCAACAAAACAAGATCCACATTTGCAATAATTAGGGTTGCCAGCAGTATTTATTTTTGGTGTTGTTATTTTCAAATTCAATTTCAAAAATCATTTATTCATGTAGGACATTTTAGCCGCTTATGAACGTCAAGTTTTTACATTATATATATATATTTTTTTCGTCAATTTCGGTATATAGATCCAATTGAGAAGAACTGACAAGAAACTCAATTGAATTACTTTTTTTTTTTAAAAGCCAGTTTATTTACAATGTATAGGTATTTATATAGTTGTAGGTATTTCACCACTATATTAAAAATTAAAGAACATGTCGTGTTGGTTAAATAGAAAAGCTGATCGAGAGGGCTGAATATAAAACACGCTGCCACTCGCGCTGCCAGTCCTTTGACTCGCGCACGAAAAACCGACAATCGAGGGAGCGCCGGGCAGCGCGAGTGGCAG